GATTAAGGAAAAGATGGAAAACAGCCCGAAATTTAAGGTCATACTTTTCCTAGTGACAATTCTAGCAACATCAATGGTTATTGGTGACGGTGTGCTAACTCCATGTATTTCAGGTGAGCATCCTTCCTTTCTTGAGCTCATCTCCTGTCAGCTTAAAATAACCCGCATGCAACCGGATAGTTAAAACATGTGGACTCTTGAATAAATAATGTGCCACATCTACTTTATGAACTAACTGAACACATGCTCATGCTAAATAATTGTTATTGGGATAAAATATCGAACAGAGAAATTATCATTCAGAACAGTATTAGAGCAGCTTATTATTCTGCTAGATGATAGAATGCCCAATTTGCACTGTAATATATTTATAAGCATGATTGCTTTCAACTTAGCTAACAGAGTTGTTTGCCATTTTACTGTGTTACAGTGCTTAGTGCAGTTACGGGAATCAAGCAATCAGCAAAGTCGTTAACTCAAGGTATACCAATCATTAGGATGCATCCCTCTGTTTAGCAGTGAAAGTTACATCCTTGTCACTATCTTAGAGTGCCAGTTTTATTTGACTCTTTTGATCTCATCAACAGGACAAATTGCTGGCATCGCAATCGGCATTCTGATCGTCCTCTTTCTTGTTCAGCGCTTTGGCACAGACAAAGTTGGTTACACATTTGGCCCAGTAATCTTTATATGGTTCATCTTAATTGCTGGCATTGGAATCTATAATTTGATCAAACATGATACTGGCATTCTGAAAGCATTCAACCCACAATATATAGTAGAATATTTCCAAAGAAATGGCAAGGACGGCTGGATTTCTCTTGGAGGTGTTATCTTATGCATTACAGGTATTTTCATGTCATGAGTTCAATACAGAACTTTGCAATTGTTCACCCTAAGATGTCAACTAATAGAATAGGCCCACAAGGTGCTGCACTGATATTGAAAAAAGAATAAATGTTCCTTATTTATTCAGAAGTCTTGAAAATGGATATTGTGTCTTTATTGAAATAGGAACCGAAGCAATGTTTGCTGACCTTGGTCACTTCAATGTGAGAGCAATTCAGGTAATCAAGCAACTCATCTGAATAATTAGCCTTTTCATTATTTTGATTTTGAGTGCATGCACAGAAAGGGGGACTGGAGAGGGAATAAACTCTGTGCAGTTATGCTTATGGAAAATAAATCCTTTCGAATTATATAAAACAGTATTATGAAAAAAATACTTTCCTCGATCAATGAATTTGTAATTAATTTTATTCATAACTTTCCATTTATTCCACTTAGACAATTAATATAAATTTGTATTGCACTGCAGATTGGCTTTTCTGCAGTTCTGCTCCCATCAGTACTGCTTGCTTACATGGGACAGGCTGCATATCTTCGCATCCACCCTGAAGATGTTGCAGATACATTCTACAAATCAATCCCAGGTGAGATCATAAGAGGATCAGCTAAGAAATTGAATGAGTTAGGCACTCAAAGATTAATATTTAACAACAAACTCGTTTATTTTGTCACAGGTCCATTATATTGGCCAACATTTGTGGTGGCCGTGGCTGCTGCTATAATTGCAAGCCAAGCTATGATTTCTGGTGCCTTTGCAATCATTGCTCAGTCCCAAGTTCTTGGTTGCTTTCCACGGGTTCGTGTCACTCACACCTCAAAAAAGTATCATGGGCAGGTCTACATCCCTGAGATCAACTATGCATTAATGATCTTATGTGTAGCTGTGACAGCTATTTTCCAAACTACAGACAAGATTGGCAATGCATATGGTAAGAAAATCCTCAACTCTATATAAAGAAAGGTGTAAATAATTCAATACTGAAGATCATTTCTGCTATAAGATTGAGATATCTCATGCTTCTATTATTCCCTTACACAACTGTTTCATGCAATTTCTCTTAAATAGCCTTCACCGCAAATTTCAATATAAACACAGATGCACTGCAATTGCTCATAAAATGATTTTTTCCCTCGTCTATTTGCCTAGATTGTCGGCAAGTAGTACGTTACTCGCTAATATGCTATATTGCCGTTGCTGCTTAGGCTGCCAAAACCAGAAAAGTGAAATCATCATATGATAATTATGGAATTCAGCAAGAATATATAAGTTTGTAGGTAAGATATGACAATGTCTGCATAGCATGATTAATTGATTAAAATATACCGGATTGGTCCATTTTTTTCCAAATTCGAATGGCATCTTGACCCATCAACTTATTCTTATAAAATCAAAGAAGTAACAAGTATTATCCACATTCCAAATTCACTTCATTACTTTCAGTAATAATGCATCAGTTTTATAATATTAATATAATCATCATATATGCAGGTATTGCTGTCGTCTTTGTGATGTTCATAACAACACTTCTAGTCACACTGGTAATGGCCATGATATGGAAGACAAGTTTGCTGTGGATTGCACTCTTTCCAATAATATTTGGCGGCGCAGAGCTCCTGTACTTATCCTCAGCATTCTACAAATTTGTAGAAGGTGGCTACTTGCCACTAGGTTTTGCAGCAATTTTGATGCTTATAATGGGCACATGGCACTATGTTCATGTTCATCGGTACAAATACGAGCTCAAGAACAAAGTGTCAAACAACTATGTGGCAGATTTGGCAACAAGGAGAAATCTTGCTAGGTTGCCAGGAATAGGCGTTCTGTACTCTGAGCTTGTGCAAGGAATCCCACCCATACTGCCCCATTTGGTAGAAAAAGTACCTTCCATCCATTCAGTTCTTGTGATTACCTCAATAAAGTACTTACCAATCAGCAATATAGAAACAAATGAACGGTTCCTCTTCCGATATGTAGAGCCAAGAGAATACAGGGTATTCCGATGTGTGGTGCGCTATGGTTACAACAATAAAGTAGAAGATCCAAGAGAGTTCGAGAACTTGCTTATTGGGAACTTGAAGCAATTCATCCATCAAGAATCACTCTACAGCGAAAGTAGTCATTCCCTTGAAGGAGAAGATAATGCATTTGAAGAATCAGGAGATACAATGGAGCCTTCTGTTGAAGTTCAAGATGCAAGGTTGCCGAAAAGGTTTTTGGATGGAATCACTGCTAGCCCAGTGAACGGGTTAATGGATGAGATAGAGTTTATTCAGAGAGGGATGGATGATGGTGTTGTCCATCTACTGGGAGAAACTAACGTGGTGGCGGAGCAAAATGCCGGTTTGGTGAAGAAAATAATAGTTGACTACGCCTACAATTTCATGAGGAAGAACTTCAGGCAACCAGAGAAGATCACATGTGTTCCACATAACAGGCTGCTACGTGTGGGAATGACATACGAGATATAGAGAGATGCTCAGTGTATTGATGAGATTGACAATAGCTTCAGTTTTCTCAGTACCAAGTGCGGAAAGGATATGCAGAGGAAGGCGGCGACCGGGTAAACAGCCTCCTTGACTGAACAGCAGAGGATGGAGATTTTACACGTACAAGTGGTGAAACTACAGTACATGCAATGGGTATTTACCATATAGTAATATTTTTGTTTGGGAAATTGTACTGCATAAGTGTTTGTTAGCAATAGGGATGCATAGCTGTTAAGTGTTAAACTCCTAGTTTGGCCAACTCTTTGCCTTCTATTGGAAAACTCAAAAACTTAGTATGTGCAGTTGTATACAAAGATTGTAACCTACTGGCAAAAGTTAAACAAAAAATAAAGTATGACTTTTGTACATTCATGTGAAATTTTGTAACAGCATGTTACGAATTGTATGCGGCCAGCACCTGGCATTTCAGAAGTTTTTGTTTAGGAGGCGAGGCAACAGATTTACCAAACATGACAAAAAGAGGAAGAACTAATTGTGCATTTGAGCTACTGTACCACCAACCGTGTGATTGTAAGAAATGGAAGGGCCAGAGTGTGGATTAAACAAATGTGCATCAGTTATCTTCAGAGTTCAGACATTGTGTTCTCAGCAAAAAAATCAAGAATTTATCACCCTACTCGATTTGAGCTCCGAGATCAGCAGGCGAGACCGTGAGATACGAGTACAAGAAAAGCATCAGATTTGTGCACGGAACTAGTTCGACATGAAAAGAGGTCCCGGCAGGCATTCCATCAAACATCTCACAGGCACTTGTCACGAGAAGCAGATACTGCGAGATCGTATCCGTACCTATGCACTCCATTCCACCTGGGCGAATCCACACGCATATAGAGACCGATCTCTGCTTCCACTTGCCACCCGTCCGCTAGCTAGTGCTATGCGATAATTCGCAAGGAGAGGATGCTTGGGTCAGCGTTGGAAGTTGGAACGGAAGAAAAAGGGAAACGAGTCAAGGACGGAGGGCGAGGAGAAGAGACCGCTGGTCAGGAGCGAAGCACGCGTCATCGCCGCCGCGAGGGAGGATCCGGACACGGAGATGGCGGCGACGAGCCACCAGCCGATCGCCTCGGTGCTCCTGTGGCGCCTTTTTTTTTCCTTGAGTAGAGATCCTGTGGCGCCGTAAAACCACACGGAACAGATCACGCCCGGATTGGACCTGGAAAATGATTGCCTGGCGCCTTACGGCCTTGTGGCGACGGCCTTGAATCGCACAGAAGGCCCATCCCTTCGTTCGTTGGGCCGCCCGTATACGTGGCCACAGTTGTTTTTTTTTTTTTTGCAGGGCACGCGCACCGCTGCTACGTGCGTGCCTACGACCGGTGGCCCTGCGGTCGCCGTCGCCGTCGCCGTACAGCATCGCGCTCGCACATTCGCCACGGCTTCTTGGGCGATCCGAGGTGGGGACGGCCCGCGAATGTTCCTAGAAACCTTAGCTCTGACAGGTGACTGACAGTGGAGTCTCCTTGTAGCAGTAGCAGGCCACCTTGTCCTCTTCTCCCCGTGCCTCTGGAGTGGAGTGTACCTGGCTCTGCTGCTCGCAGCGCGTCCCGTGCCTCTAAAAGCGACTCATCATCGTGGTTTAACAGCAGCACAGAAGGTCGATCGGCCAGTGTGCGAGAGATCGTCACTCTCATAGCTCCAGGATGAATGACCCGCTAAAAACGAGCAGCAATGGAGCTGCCGAAAGGGGTGCTGGCAACTCTGCCTCTGGGACGGTGAAGGCGCCGTCAACGTCGCCGTCGCCGTCGCCGGGGAGGCTGCAGGGGTTCGACTCCCTGCATATGGAGGCTGAAAGGATTCCCGGTGGACAAAGCCACGCCGCCAAGGTCTGTTCTTCCCTCCCGCTTCTTTCAATGGGCAACAAGCCTCCGCTTTCCGACAAGCAAAGCTACAGAACAGCATCAGTATTTGCAGATCCTGTCTCCTTTCTCGATAAACCGCAACCAAGAACTCCTCAATATATGCACTATAGCACAGTTTATCAAGGAAGCCTGCTAAAGTACCGTATAGAAACAAGTATTGAAAACCGACCTATTTTTATAAGCACCTCGCTAAGCACCTTGCATTGTATAAGGTCGTACGATGATCCCTTTCTCTTACTTTCACGTGTCGTTTAGCTACTAGTCTTGCTCTATGTTTTATCAATTTTTCTTCGGCATCTGACTTGACTTTGTACACCCATTTGGCTTTATAAATGTTTGGCACATCAAAAGGCTCCCACGTTTCTTTACTTGCGGAGACATTGAGACCTTGTTGAACCTTTTTTATTTTAATTAATAAGATGGATGTATGCATCATGCTGATGTAGAGGCCGGGGAGGCCCCCCTTTTCAAAAAAAAAAGCTCCCACGTCATATGCTTCTCTGTTCCAGGGTGTCTCTTCCAGATACAATTCCAATACCGATGACATGTTGCCTTGTTCTGCTCATGTACTCCCTGGCGACCCCACACTAGCACTCTAGCAGGCGCTGGCGATGCCTCTGATCTCCATGGTGATCGGTAGTGCTGCACTAGGAAATCATATCTTTGCCTGCAACGAACAATAGACACTGTAACACGCAAGGGCAACCCTACATGGGCCGGCCCATGCATCGGTTTTCTTTTGGGGGGTTTTCGACGGATATTTGCTTGATTTTTCTCTAGTCCGTTTTGTTTCATTTTCGATTTATCCGCTCACCTTGCTTATTTTTTCATGCGAACCAACCTATGGTTGGATGGTTAGAGCCTTAGAGGGATTGTGGTATCCCCAGCCCACCAGGGTTCAAGTCCTGGTGCTCGCATTTATACCTGCATTTATTTTAGGATTTCCGGCGAGGCGCATTCAGTGGGAGGAAACATTCCTGTCGATGACGAGGTGCATACGGTGACTTAGTAAATTTCAAGATGATATGTTGGTTCAGTCTTTCGGAGGTGCTTATAGGGGTAGGGTGTGCGTGTGTGCGTTCATAGGGGTGAGTGTATGCACGTGAATATGAGTGCTTGCATCTGTACCGTGTTAAAAAAACTTATTTTTCCATTTTGTTCCTATATTTTTTCTCATATTTTCTCTTTTTAATACATAAAAGTACCTTTTTTACTTATGAACACTTTTAAAAATTGCTAGTGTTTTTAAAAAATCCATGAACATATTTTTGAAAATTTTACAAAATAAATGCCGTGAACATTTTTTTTACTTCATGAATATTTTTAAAGTTTCTGAACATTTCTTGATTCATGAACCTCAATTTTTTGGAAAAAAAACTCTTGGGTCTTCTCAAATTTTTCATAAAGTCCAATGTACCTTATGAAAAAGCCCAAGTCACCTCCGATGCCTCTTCGTAATTATTGGGCTAGAAGGGATTTCCACATGAGGCGAAGTCCCTTTTGTTACTAAATCCATGGAAAAAAAGAAAACAAAATCACTAGTAAAGGGGAACCTCTTGCAAAATTAGTCACAGGCTGCTACGGTGATGACAAGTGACGCAACATATCTGCGCCAGTTGTTGCCTGCAGTGAGGTTTGGTGGAGTTTTTCTCAGGTGAGGGGATGGGATATGGGAGGGATGGACGCGGCTTGCCTGCTCCCGAGTCATACTCCCATCCCTGTTCCCAGGAAATCCAACGTCACATAGCCCACGGACTTAGTTTCTCCCGAAAGGAAAAATACCAGCCCCCTTGCCCCACCGCTCCATCCAGTTCATCTAATTTCCCCAGTAAAAACCAGGCGATCTATAGATTGGTGTCACCGTTTTCCTGCTGCTGCTCTTTCTATTTCCTTCTCCCGCTCCTTGCGACCTGCTGGAAGGGGAAAATCCTATTCTCAACCTTAAGCGAGAAAAGAATCGCCAATGCTATATTTCGCTTATAACAACTGTTAAGCGTAGCACTTGCCCACGGTTCGCTTACAGTGGGCCAGGCCATTAGTGGTTTTATGAAATCTTCTTCGAAAGCAGTCGAGGGCCGGGGTCGGTTTTGGGAACCTTTCTGGTAGTTTTAGGAAGGTTTCATCGTTTTTTTTTCTTTTCTCTATTTTCTACCGGCTTCTCGGTTTTCTTCTGAGTCTTTTTTCAGTTCCTTTCTTTTAAAAATGTAGGAACATTTTAAAAATTTATGAAAAACTTTTATTTTTTAAAAAATCAAATTTGTGAACATTATTTTAAATTATGAACAGTTCTTTTCAAATTCGTGAATGCCAGAACCGATACTTATCACTCCCCAAGTGAGAGAAATAGGGGTCATTTAGATGAAGTGCGTGGGGACGGGCTGGCCCATGTACACACTTTTCTGTTCTTTTCTATTTCCTCTGTTAACCACGGCAAGAATTATGGAATGGAGGGAGTATCTTATATGTGTTCATATTTATCTTTTTATTTTTTTGTTTATTTTCTTTTCACTTTCTCATGTCCTTTTTTGTTTTCTTTTTTCCATTTTTATGTTTTAATATTTTATTTTATGTTTTTTTGCTTACTTTCTTTTGAAAATACGTACATATATCCATATGTGCATGAACACGTTATTTCAAGTCTATGAACTTCTTTTAAAATGCATGAACTTTTTTAACATGGCGACAATAGCAATGCAACTGCTATCTGTGCATCAACCACCATGGCGATGATCTGATAAGAAAAACACCTTTACAACGATAGCTGCTTTCCTTAAGATGAATACGTATAATATTTTGCAAGTTCGGATTGTCTTCAACCTTTTTTTTTACTGCAAAGCAGGTTGGCTGGGCGACAACACTGCACTTGGCCTTCCAGAGTCTAGGTGTTGTCTATGGGGACATGGGAACTTCACCGCTCTATGTGTTTTCTAGCACCTTTATTGGTGGGATCAAAGATACAGATGACCTCCTTGGTGTCATGTCCCTGATTATTTACACTCTGGCTCTCCTTCCGTTGATGAAATATTGTTTCATTGTCTTGAGAGCTAATGATAACGGTGATGGTGAGTAAATATCTCCCATTTATCTTCTCAACACAACTTGTGTGATTACATATAAGATTTTGAAGAACTACGAAAGACTGTAACTTTGTTACAACGAATGTTCCTATTAAAAAAATATTATTCGGAAATGAATTACCATGAAGAACCATAGGAGCATTTTTTTTCTTCTTCAAAATAAAAGATAAATATTCACACAATCCCACCGCATATTGTTTTTAGACAACATGTTACAGAGTACCTAAGAATCATTAGAAGTGATAGGGACGTGAGCGTTAAGCACTTAATTCCATGAAAGAAAATCCAAAATATGTGACAAGTACTTAGATACTATATACACACAAAATACTTCATGTGAGAGTAAAACATGTGTTATGAATGCACAACCTTGCAGGTGGAACATTTGCACTTTATTCCTTGATATCTCGGTATGCTAGGATTAGCTTGATACCCAATCAACAGGTTGAAGACGCAACGGTCACCCACTACAAGTTAGAGTCCCCTTTGAATAGTGTCAAGCGCGCTCATTGGATAAAGGAAAGGATGGAAAACAGCCCAAAACTGAAGATCATACTTTTCCTAGTGACTATTCTAGCAACTTCAATGGTTATTGGTGATGGTGTGCTAACTCCATGTATTTCAGGTGAGCTTACTTTCTCTCTCGAGGTCATCTTACTTGAGTACGTACTCCCTCCGTTTCTTTTTACTCCGCGTATAAAATTTGGTCAAAGTCAAACTACACAAAGTTTGATCAAAACTTATATCAAAAAGTATGAACATCTATATACTAAAACTATATAGTATGAAAATACATTTCATGGTGCATCTGACAATATTGATTTCATATTGTGAATGATGATATTTTTCAATATAAAGTTAGTCGAACTTTACAAAGTTTGACTTTGACCAAACCTTATACGCAGACTAAAAAGAAACGGAGGGAGTATAAAATAACATGCATGCAAAGGATAGTCAACACATGAACTGATACAAGAGGGTTCTCGGTCTTCACGAATTGGGGGCAACTAGCCAAACAAACTTAAGAAAAACCACCCAACAACAACCACCAAATGTGAAAGTCTTTGGGGAAAGAAAACTCAAACCAACAAATTCATAAATTGAAACCAATCCATCAACCCAATCCATCCACTTGGCCAGTCCATCAACCCAATCAAATCCAGGATAAGGGGTTAAACAAGTTGGATTTCATCTCCACACTGAGAGGTCTTGTTTTGATCATCTCCACATGGGGAGATCTTGGAATAGAGGCACAAGGCTCCAATGTCTAATCACATTTGTTTGTCCTAGACGGAGAGGAGAACGGGGTATTTATAGCCACTAGGTCACAACTACTAGTTTTGGGGTCAAAACGGTATATGTGGGCCTTAGCTCATTTTGACGCATCTAGGCACGACTGGATAGTCGGGGTTGGATGGTTGGACTGTCCAGGTATGCGGACTTGGTCCGGGGCTCTGCTCGGTTTGGTCCGAAACGGTCGGTTTCTCTGGGCCAACTTATTTCTCCTTTGCTCCTTGCTTGACCCATGCACCTTCACAGTCCAAGTCATTCGGCCGGCCATAAGCACACATAGAGTACACACATTATGCAATAACCAATTATCAACTCTAGGAGTGCATTCATCAAGGAAAAGGAGCACCTCGTGTTGGATAGCCTTCACATGTGTCATTGGTCCATCTGTAGCATCTTTATCCTTGGTTGTTCCAGAACTTGGCGGTTATTTAGGCATGATCATGTCCGTGGAGGCTCATCATATCATGAACTTTTGAACAAATGGTATCAACAACTACTTTATGAACTATGCGCATGCTAAATAATTATCATTTGATTAAAGAGGGAATTTACCATTCAGAATAGCATTAAAGCATCTTATTGTGTCACTGAATAAATGTCCCATTTGCACTATAATATATTTATAAGCATGTGCTTTCTGCCTAGCTAATCTTTTTGTATTTTACTATGTTGCAGTGCTTAGTGCAGTCGGTGGAATCAAGCAATCCGCAAACTCCTTAACTCAAGGTATACCATCCATTAAGGCACATCTCGCTGTTTAGCAGAGAAAGTCACATCCATGTCACTATGTTATGTTGGCATTTTATTTGACTCGTTTGATCTCATCAACAGGACAGATTGCTGGCATTGCGATCGGCACTCTGATTGCGCTCTTTCTTGTTCAACGCTTAGGCACAGACAAAGTTGGTTACACATTTGGACCAGTAATCTTGACATGGTTCATCTTAATTGCTGGCATTGGAATTTATAATGTGATCAAACATGACACTGGAATTCTAAAAGCATTCAACCCAAAGTACATCATAGACTATTTCCAAAGAAATGGGAAGGAGGGCTGGATTTCACTTGGCGGTGTTGTTTTATGCATCACAGGTATTTTTTATCCCATGAGTAACTTCGCAATACACCCCAATATCATGGGAATATAGGCACATATTTATCATGAAAACAAGAATAGAAGTCTCTTCTTTACTCCAAAGTTTTGAAATGGATATTGTGTAGGAACCGAAGCAATGTTTGCTGATCTTGGTCACTTCAATGTGAGAGCAATTCAGGTAATCAGGCAACTCAACGGCGTACTTATTTTTTCATTATTTATATTTTGAATGCATGAGCATAGAGAAGGGAAAATAAATCTTTTTTGAGCTATATCAAACAGTACTGTGAAAAACTACTTTGCTTGATTAATAAAATTATCATCACCTTTTCATGCTTCTCAATTTACTCACTTTTTAATATAAAAAGATATCACACTACAGATTGGCTTTTCCGTAGTTCTACTCCCATCAGTGCTGCTGGCTTACATGGGGCAAGCTGCATATCTTCGCATCTACCCTGAAGATGTTGCAGATACATTCTACAAATCTATCCCAGGTGAGATCACAAAAGGATAAGCTAAGAAATGGAATGAGTTAGTCACTGAAAGATTAATATTTAACAATCAACTCATTTATTTTGTCATCAGTTCCATTATATTGGCCAACATTTGTGGTGGCCGTGGCTGCTGCTATAATTGCAAGCCAAGCTATGATATCTGGTGCCTTCGCAATCATTGCCCAGTCCCAAATTCTTGGATGCTTTCCACGCGTTCGTGTCACCCACACTTCAAATAAGTTTCATGGGCAGGTCTACATCCCCGAGATCAACTATGCATTAATGATCTTATGTGTAGCTGTGACAGCTATTTTCCAAACTACAGACAAGATCGGCAATGCATATGGTAAGGAACGCCTTGACCCTATATAAAGAAAGGAACAAATAATTCATTACCAAAAGATCATTTCAGCTATATGATCGAGATATATCATGCTTCTGTTATTCCCTTAAGCACCTGCTTCATGAAATTTCTCTTGGTTTTCGCTCACCCCTTTCATCAATTTTTGTTAGTAGTCTTATGTTGCACAACTTCAAATAAAAAACACAGATGCACTGAAGTTGCTCTTAACATGATGGTCGCCCTTCATTGTCTGACTAGATTTCGGCAAGCAGTATGTGACTCACTAATATGCTATTAGTGTTACTTCTTAAGCTGCAAAACCAGAAAGAGTGAAATCATCTTACGAACATTATGAATTCAGCATTAATATAGTTTCTAGGTATGATATGACAATGTCTGCATAGCATAACAATTTGATAAAAATATACCAGATTACTCCCTCCTAAATTTCAATTGCATCGTGACCTTTTAACTTATTCATATAAAATCAAAGAAGCAACAATAAAAAATTCACTCTGTTATTTTCAGTAATAAAGTATCAGTTGTATGATACTCATATATTCGTCGCATATACAGGTATTGCTGTCGTCTTTGTGATGTTCATAACAACACTTCTAGTCACACTGGTCATGGCCATGATATGGAAGACAAGCCTGATATGGATTGCACTCTTTCCAATAATATTTGGTGGAGCAGAGCTCACGTACTTATCCTCGGCGTTCTACAAATTTACAGAAGGTGGCTACTTGCCACTAGGTTTTGCAGCAATTTTGATGCTTATAATGGGCATATGGCACTATGTTCATGTTCACCGGTACAAATACGAGCTAAAGAATAAAGTGTCAAACAACTATGTGGCAGAGTTGGCAACAAGGCGAAATCTTCCTAGGCTTCCAGGAATAGGTGTTCTGTACTCAGAACTCGTGCAAGGAATCCCACCCATACTGCCCCATTTGGTAGAAAAAGTACCTTCCATCCATTCAGTTCTTGTGATTATCTCAATAAAGTACATACCAATCAGCAATATAGAAACACACGAACGGTTCCTCTTCCGGTATGTGGAGCCAAGAGATTACAGAGTATTCCGATGTGTGGTGCGCTATGGCTACAACGATAAAGTAGAAGATCCAAGAGAGTTTGAGAACTTGCTCATTGGGCACTTGAAGCAATTCATCCATCAAGAATCATTCTACAGCAAAAGCAGACATTCCCTTGCAGGAGAAGATGCTGCAATTGAAGAATCAGGAGATGCAATGGAGCCTTCTGTTGAAGTTCAAGATGCAAGGTTACCGAAAATGTTTTCAGATGGAATCGCTGCTAGTCCACTAAACAGGTGCATGAATGAGATAGAGTTTATTCAGAGAGGGATGGATGATGGTGTTGTCCATCTGCTAGGAGAAACTAACGTGGTGGCAGAGCAAAATGCCGGTTTAGTGAAGAAAATAATAGTTGACTACGCCTACAATTTCATGAGGAAGAACTTCAGGCAACCAGAGAAGATCACATGCGTCCCTCATAACAGACTGCTGCGGGTGGGAATGACATATGAGATCTAGAGATATGCTCAGCTCAGTGGATTGATCAAATTGAGAACAGAATAAGTTTTTTCTGTATCAAGTGCAGAAAGCATATGTAGAATAAGGTGGTGACTGCATAAACAGCCTCCCTGACTGAGCAACAGAGGATGGACAGATTTTATGCGTACAAGTGGTGAAACTACAGTACATGCGATGGATATTTTTTACCATATACTCCCTCCGTCCTAAAATAAGTGACTCAACTTTGTACTAACTTTGTACTAAAGCTAGTACAAAGTTGAGTCACTTATTTTGGGATGGAGGGAGTAATATTTTTGTTAGGGAAATTATACCGCGTAAGTGTTTGTTAGCAGTAAGTGTGCAATCGCTGTTAAACTCCTAGTTTGGCTAACTCTTTGCCTTATTCAGGAAAACTCAAAAACTTAGTATGCGCACTTGTATACAAAGATTGTAACCGACCGGAAAAAAGGAAAAGAGAGAATAAATTATGACCTTTGTGTACATTCATCTCAAATTGTGTATACACCATGTTACAGAAGAAATCGCAGCAGAGGCATTCCATCGAACACATCAGAGGCATCCGCGCGAGAAGCGAATCCACACCATACCACGAGATCGTATGCGTACCTGTGCGTTCCACCTGGGCCGATCCACACGCCTCTACTGATCAATTGTTGCTTCAACTTGCCACCAGTTCGCTACTCCGTTCCTGCTAATAGACAATTAATTCCAAGGATGCTTGGTTCAGCGTTGGGAGTTCGAACAGAAAAAAGAACAGGGAAGCTAATCAACGACGACGGATGAGATCGACGACGAGACCGCTGGTTAGGAGCGAAGCACGCGCCAGCGCCGCCGCGGGGGAGGATCCGGCCACCGAGAGATGGCGGCGATGAACCACTAGCCGATCGCCTCGGGTGCTCCTGTGGCGCCTTTTTTTTTTTACGCGGAGCATCCTGTGGCGTTTTTTTTTTGTAGAAACACGTGGACTAATACCTGTCCATGGGCAGCCCGGCCCGGACGGCCCGAAAATCCCGGGCCGGGCTGAGCCTGAGCGTGCCATTGGGCCAGGCTCGGGCCTGAAAATTGAACGCGACGGGTAGATTGAGCTGGGCCTGGGCTTGCAAAAAACAAGTTTTTAGATGTGGTTGGGCCAGGCCGACAGAGCAGTGTTGGGCTTTTCCATGCTTGGGCCTGATTTAGTAGGTCCGATGATCGGGCCAGGCCGGGCTCAGGTTTGGGTTTTCATTCAGCACTGTGCTTTGTTTAGCCCAGCCCGGCCCGAGATATGCCTAGTTATACTCAGAACATAGAAACTGTTCTTTTAGGAAACATAGAAGCTGATTTGAAACTCTAGCTCGCAAACAAGGAACAATCACGTTTGGGTGGGCTTGTCTTATGTCCTGTTCGGCAATCCACCAACTCCCGGAATCCGCGGAGCGTGCAGCTTCGTGATTTTTAACTGCAGCTCCGCCCGCTCCGTGAGTGGAGTTGTGAAGCGAAGCGATTTCGAACAGGGCATTAGTTTTGATTAACTCCAGCCACGAAAGATGGCTATCTTAGGCTCCGTGATTACCTAGGCCAACCAGGTGATTTTATCTTCTTCCCTGACAATAGTGTGACGACATAATAAAGATCGCATGTTTGCTGGTCAACTAGAGTATAGAGGCAAGAGGACGTGTGTAACCCTTCATTCGTGCGACTCGTCAGCAACGCTGCCCGTCCGCCTCATCTCCTATGGTCCTAGGACCATGTAGGCGCGATGGATCCCGCCCCTTGTCAGCGGGAGGGCTCCATTTTTAGGTGATTTGCTCAGTTTTGTTAGAATTTATGCCATACTTAAGAAGACGAGACTGCGATGACTTTCTAAAGTTAGAATAAGGTTTTCCCCGCCTAGCTCCTATTTTGGTGGTGCTTATAGCATCGTCAGTGGGTGTGTGAAGGTGATTCTGGTGGTGCTTCTAGCATCGTCCGTGGTGTGTGGAGGTGTTTCTCCGGCAGATCTCACGGGATTCGATCGGAGTTTGTCTTCACGGGATCCACTTGGATTCAGTCTTTGTTCGTCTACGTTCGTGTGTCTGCAGGTTGAATTCTTTCGATCTACGCTTCTCTTAGTTGGCAATGGTTGTTGTTCTGAGGCACTGGTCTTATGGGGGCTTACCGCGACGACTTTTCGATTGTCTACTACAACAAGATTTGCCTCGCTCCAGTGACATAGAGGCGATGACGGAGGCACGCCTTCGGTTAGCTCCAGTGCTTATAGTGGTTGCTAGGTGGTATATGAACATTGATTTAATTTTTACTTCTGGTGTTCTTTGTACTTGCAAAAGAAAAGAGAGGCCTTTTTCTCTTTAGTTTTTTTTCTTTTCCAATACATGTCTTTTTTTAATACACGTGGTTCAATTTTTTATACATGTATTTTTTTCATATTTATAATGACAATTTTTCAATAAATGTTTTTGAATATTTTTTGAATACATGCTAAACATTTTTCAAATACACCTTGAACCTTTCTTGAATGTATGAAATATTTTTATAAATTACATGATTTTTTACGTTTTATTAACATAATAATTCTTTTAACACACGTAGGATTTTTTTGAATCAACAGAACTTTTTTAAAAGTACACAAACTTTTTTTCACATTGTATAAACATTTTTAAAAACATTGCGTGATCATCTTTTGAAACGCCTGAACATTTTTAAATGCACGACTTTTTTGGATGGTAATAGCATTTTTTAGTAGTGGTATGAACATTTTTACACTGCATGAATATTTTAAAATGCGGGATGAACGCTTTTGAAAGTTCAAATCATTTGTTTTGCGAAAATAACGAAACAGGATGCTGCTGTCGCTGGAATAGGCCCGGCCAATAAGCAGTAAGCTGTGTATAAGCGAGCGCGACGTTCGAGGTATAGCCTCACCCCTGCATCAAAAGGGTACGCACAGAGCGTTGCGTCATGACCCAGGCCCAGTAGGAACGTCCCCTCAAAAAAAAAAGGCCCAGTAGGAACGTTCGAGTGGCAAAATTTCCCAGATTGTATGATAACGTTACTGCTTATCCATTTTTTATTGCTTTACTCAGTAGTTTATTTTATTTCTTTGATTTCCATTTATTTTTATTTTTTTAATATTTAGTTTTCGGCTGCTTTTGTTTAAATTTGCAAGCATTTTTCTAAGCAGTTAAAACTTTTTGAAACAGATCTTTGATTCTTTTAAACATAAATGCTTTTGGGTTACGTGAGCATTTCTAAAATGTTGAGAACATTTTCTTAAAGCATGAATATTTTTAATTCATGTTTTTTAAGTTTTTAGAACATCTATTAAAATTAATGAAAATATTTTTTGAATAGATGGGCATTTTTTGAAGCTCGAGAACATCTACTATTGTTATTTTACAATTTGTGAATACTTATAACTTAATTTTTTTTAAATGCGTGAACATTTTATTGGAATAGATAAACACATTTAAAACATGGGATTAAGCTAGATGGGTCGATCCGAAACTTGTCATGTATTGCTTCGCCCGTGCCTTGCCATGCGAACTATTGGGATTAAGCTAGATGGGTCGATCCAACAGTCCGGGTTGTCTTGCCGACTAGGAAGGGCGGCTAGGGTTTTTTGCCGCGAGCATTTTGGGAAGCTTCTGTAATCTATAACTTCTTCTATAACCTCAATGACTAGATTGAGGTCTCTGGATCTTGGGAGAAGGACCACTGGGATTTTTTTATCTTGCTTGCTCAGTGTGTGATAATTAGTAGTGATAATAGATTTTGTTCTGGTGTGACACTAGTATTCTAGTTAAGAGGGCGGTTGTAGACCTTTTTCTATGGTTTGATTTTGTGTAAGTTTGTTTGAACTTTGTACATTGTTGACAATTTATTTGTGAAAATGATCCACGTCAATTGTAGAAGTTTCAAAACATAATAAAAAAACTCATCAAGGTCTCTGGACCATTGAACGATCACTACCGCCACCAGAACAAGTCACTGACATGCTGCTGTCACCACTCCCTTATCGGAGCTGCCTGACCTTGTCGATGACAGCAGGGGAGCCTTCATGCATGTACCCCAAAGTGCCAGTTCCCTGGAGCTGCAAACGTCACGATTCAACCCTTGAATCGGTTTGATGAGTATGATAGTAGATCTCGCCATAGCACACACATGGCTCCAATCCCTAACCTCGCTTCCCCAAGGAGACGACATGAATCTATGCCAAATCTTCGTTGACTCCATTCAGAGGGACGAACTCAGTGAGGATTGGAGCCCGGAAGATTAACTCGAGGAGGATCAGAGCATGGAAGATCAACTCAAGGAGGATTAACTCAAGGAAGATCAATTAAGAGTAAAATACAACACAAATCCTAAAACTATCTCAGGGCGTTAAGTTAGTCCTAATACAACAAAAATGCATGTATGAGTTCTAAGTGTTTGCTAAAGGTGTCACCTGTGTCCTATCCATGCTGTATTGGCTTTGACTTGCATGGGGTGCAGGTTGACCACGACCATGCAGTGAGTTTTTTTTCCACAACCCCCCACTACAGGAAACAAGAACTTTGTCGTCCGCCACGGCTGACGGCAAAGCCACACATGACCTAAACTAATTAAACTAAATAACCTAACCTAACTAAACTAAATAACCTAGACTAATTAAACCTAAACTAACTAAACTAGAAAACCAAAACCAATTAAACCTAAAACTAACTAAACTAAACAACATAAACTAATTAGACTAAATAACCTAAACTAATTAAACTAATTAACCTAAACAAATTAAACCTAAACTAAATAACCTAAACTAATTAAACCTAAACTAACTAAACTAAATAACCTAAACTAATTAAACTAATTAACTTAAACTAATTAAACCTGAACTAACTAAACTAAATAACCTAAACAAATTAAACCTAAACTAAATAGCCTAAACAAATTAAACCTAAACCTTAACTAAAAACTTAATTAATTGAACCTAAAAACTAACTAAACTAAAAAAACAGAAAAAAAAACCAGGGTGGCAGGGG